TCCTCCTCCTCCTTTTCCTCCTCCTCCTCCTCCTTCACATGGGCGAGCGGGAGCCTCGCGCACGCAGAGCCGTGCCCCAACGCCTTCGCGGCGCCTGCGTTGAGGCTACCGATGCCTTGAGTGTCTGGGGGAGCAGCTCTTTGGAGGCCCCCCGCGTCAACGACCCCAGAGGTCCCGCGCACTGAACAACATCAAGACGGAGGTGTTTCGCAGATTTCGGCCCCTAGGGGCCCTCGCCGGGCCTCGGGGCCGTCAAAAGACGACTCAGGGCGAAACGCCGGTCCCGGGGAATGGGTCGAGACTTCGGGGGACCCCGTCTTGAAACAATCACGACGTCGGATCTCTGGGGAGTGCGGCCGCGAGCTCCTGGGCAGCGTGCCGCTACGCCGGTGCTGGCCCACCACGCTGCGGCGCGGCGCGCCTGCCGCTCCCTCGCCCCCCCGCGTCAGGGGTCCGGCAGGGCCCCTGACGCCGACAATGACGAGTCAGTCTTCGGGTGTTGCTAGAGGTGCCCCTGGCCCAAGGTGCCCCCAGGATTTTCAAGGAGGCCACTGCGGCGTCCAGAGCACCCCTCACGAGGGTCCCAGGAGCTCCAGAATCGAACGAAAAGCTGGGGGCACCTTGGGCCAGGGGCACCCTTGGCAACCCCCGGAGTCTGGGGAAGTCTCCTGAGACTCCCCCAGGCCCCCGTCGCCATATGAGCTTTTCTTGGACCCCTTCCCGGGGACCGTGTTTTCATCCTGCCTCGTTTTGCTGACAGTAACCCGCGGCCCGGCGGGGCCCCCCGGTGGCCGACCATCGCGAGACGCCTCCCGCCGCGGTGCTGCCGCGCCGCGAGCAGGGGCCGGGTACCGGGCCTCCCGCGCCCCGCGGAGCGGCGCGGGAGGCCATGCGCTCGCGAGGGGGCTGGCGCGTCGCCGGGGCCGCCGCCGCGACACGCTGGGCGCAAGAGCTCCCGGCCGTGGATCGGCGGCGCGCGCCGCTGGGAGGCCGTCAGCAGCGTGCCCTGCGCCCCCGCGGCCGCCCTCCTGCGGGCGGGAGCAAAAAAGTACAGACGCAAGGGGTCGTCGATTTCCCAGGAACACACGTACACATCCACCCACCCACACCACACACCACACACCACACACCACAGTCCACACGCCACACACCACACACCGCACACCACACACACCACACACCACACAACATACAACACACGCACACCACACACCACACTCCACACACCACACACAACACACAACACAACACACACAGCACACAACACACAACACACAACACGCAGTACACAACACACAGCACACAGCACACAGCACACCACACACAGCACACCACACAGACAACACACAACACACAGCACACAACACACAACATACAACACACCACACACCACACACATCACACCACACACCACACACAACACAGCACACAACCACACACACATATATATATATGTATATGTATATAGCTATACATGTATATCTACTTCTACATATTCATATATGTATGTGTATATATATATATATGTATGGAGAACGGGGGACGACGAACATCCGCAACATATCGAACATAGGGGGAACTGTAGGATCTGTGCCTCTTTCTTTTGGCGTGTTCCCCTGGCCCCTCTCCCACTCCTCGCTGGCCGCCGCCACGGTGCCAGGGCGTCCCCCTGCGCAGCCCGTGGAGGCCACTCCGGGGCGGAGCGACGCTCCTCTCGCTTCGGCACGGCCACTCCGCCGTGCTCTGTCTGACGGCCTGGCGCCTCCTTCTCGATGGACATCTGATGGGCCACTTTGCCAACACCATCTCCACCACACATCGCTCAGCTGCGGAGCGGTGCCCAGCCGAGGCCTTCAGGTTCCCCCCTTTTTCGAAGGCTCTCGGATTGGGCCAGCGGCATCCCCCTGCAGAGCGATCTAGGCAGTCGCTCAGAGAGAAGCGAACACAGATCCAGCTGTTGTACTTCAAGGCCCCGCTTTCTTTTATGCATTGCCATTGCTTGGTTCAGTCAGGTAGTAAGTGCATCGTAAGTGTGTCAGTCAGTCAGTCAGTCAGCCAGTCAGTCAGTCAGTCAGTCAGTCAGTCAGTCAGTCAGTCCACCACATACAGAACGGATGCGAGGCTAGGATGGTCGAAAGAGGCGGCGTACACAGCTGCTGCGTAATGTTTCGGTGACGTTGTGTAATGTGTGGTGAAAGCGGTGTTGTGTTGTGCTGTGTTTCGCCATGGCGTGGCATGATGTGCTAGGTTACGCATTGTCATGATATGATGTGGTATGCCGTGCTACGCGGTGTAATTGTGATTTTGTCGGTGACATCCGTTTTGCCGTATCTTAGCTTGTTATGTTGCACGATGCCATGTTGTGTGGTGATCTGCTTCGCTGATGTGTCGTATCTTGCTGATTGCAGTTGTTATGAATGTTATTGCGCGCTATGGTATGTTATCCTCTGCTTTTGTCATGCTCACAGGGGCAGGAGTCTAGGACATATTCGGCGGACCTAGGGATGCGGCCGCCGCGGTATGCTGGGTGGGTGGATCGGGTCGGGAGGGGCGGAGGTCTCGGGGATCCGGTCGACCTTGAGATCTGGTGGCCGCGGTATGCAGGGTGGGCGGGTCGCGAGGTTTGTATTTGATTTAACAACCCCGACCTGTCGGGTGGAAAGACAACAAGGCCATGCCTTCGGACAAGAACGATGAAGCCCGTCAGTTGGCGTGAAGCTCCTTGGCTGTTGTCCAAGTGTAGCTCTTCAGCAGCAGCAGCAGGCGCTGATGGGTTCCCCGTGGCGGCGCGTCGTTGACCTCCCTCCTCCTCCTCCTCCTCCTCCTCCTCCTCCTCCTTTCCCCCCTCTTCGCCGACCCGATTACTGCCGTGCCACCGTTGCACCACCACCGCCCCCTCCTCCTCCTCCTCCCCCTCCTCTTCCTCCTCGTCGTCGTCGTCCTCCTCCTCCTCCTCCTCCTCATCCTCCTCCTCCTCCTCCTCCTCCAGGTCCAGGCGCCCTCCGCGCGGCCGGAACGCGCCGCGGGCCTGCGCCGGGGCTGGGCGGGTGCACGTTCGAGGACGGGGGTGGGTGGGCGGAGGGTTTCTCCGAGGGGCTTAGGCGACCCGTCCTCCTCCTCCTCCACTCTTCCTCCTCCTCGTCCTCCTCCTGCTCCTCCTCCTCCTCTTCCCCCTCCTCCTCCTCCTCCTTCTCTTCCTCCTCCTCCTCCTCCTCCTGCTCCTCCTCCTCCTCCTCCTCGGGTCGCGTATTGCCCTGGGGGCAACCGTGCAGGGGGGGGGGGACGACGACGAACGAGGAAAAGGGGGGGGGCGAGGGCAACGTTCCCAACCCCCCTCGAGTCGTGAACCAATGTCACACAAGGAGGTTTTTGGTGCGTATGTTCAGCCTCTGGAGGCCCTGGCCGGGCCCAGGACCGTCTGAAGACTACTCAGGACGAAAACCGTGGGTTGTGGGATGCAGTCGAGACTTTCGAGACCTCCTCTGAGGGTCGACGTTATGAAAATATCAAAAAGAGCGTGTTCTACCGCTGCTGGCGGAAAACCGGGGGGGGTCACTACCGGTTCGAACCCCTCCCCCCCCCCCCCTCGGAAAACTGGGGGGGTCACTACCGGTTCGAACCCCTCCCCCCCCCCCCCTGCTCATCATGAAAAGGGGGGGGGGTCACTACCGGTTCGAACCCCCCCCCCCCCCCCTCCGGATCCGGAAAACCGAGGGAGGTCACTACCGGTTCGAACCCCCCCCCCCTCGAAAACCGAGTGGGGGTGCGGACAGTGGTGGGGACCGTGTTGGTGGGGACAGTGGTGAGGGGATATCGGGACAATGGTGGGAACAATGGGGACAGCGGGACAGTGGTGGGGACGGTGGTGGTGGGGACAGTGGTGTGGGGACAATGGGAATGAGGTGGAAACAGTGGGACAGTGGAGGGTACAATGGTGGTGGGGACAGTGGTGAAGGCGGTGGCGAGGACGGCGGTGGGACAATGGGACAGAGGTACAGTGGGGACAGTGGTGGGGACAGTGGGGACAGTGGTGGGAACAGTGGGACAGCTCAGTGGGACAGCGGAGGAGTCAGTGGGACAGTGGGGACAGTGGGATAGTCGGGCAGTGGTTGGGGCCGTGGAGACAGTGGGGAGAGTGGAACCGTGGTGGGAACAGTTCTGGGGACAGCGGGGACAGTGCGACAGTGGTGGGGCCACTGGTGGGGACAGTAGGAGCGGTGGTGGAACCAGTGGGGACAGCGGTGGTGAGGACAGTGGTGCTGGGAACACCAGTGGGGGATGTGATGCGGACGACGTGGTGGGGACCGGGAGTCGTTTGCTGGCGGGTGAGTAGGGGGGGGGGGGGGGGGGGGGGGGGGGGGTTCGAACCGGTAGTGACCCCCCCGGTTTTCGAGCGGGAGAGGGGGGGGGGGGGAGGGGTTAGGGGAGGGGGGGGTTTTGCCGGGGGAAGGGGGGGGGGGGGTCCAGCAGGGGGGGGGGATTTTCGGAGGGGGGGGGGGGGGGGGCGACCCCCGGGTTCCGGAGGAAAAGGTTTGCAATTTTCCACAGTAAAGCGGCGGTGGATCACGCTCTCTCATATCAGGGCGTCGGGGGCCTGGGTTAGAGGGGGCGTAGCCGACAAATCCGAAACGGCGCAGACGTAAGTCCTCGGAGGTCCGCGCAGTTCTCTTGGATCGACATTGGGCCCCCCTGGCGGCGCCTCCGGCGCCGCCCCTGGCGCGCTCCGCGCGCCAGGGAGGGGGATCCAGTGCCGATCCAAGAAATCCGCGCGGGACTCAGAGCACTGATGTTCCTGCTCTTCTTCTGTTCGTGTAGAGGAGGAGGGATGACAACAACGTGCGGTGGGAGCGCGCAGCAAGAAACCATATGCATTTCGTCAGGGTATCCTGGGTTTCTTTGCTCCGCGCGCTGCGCGTTGACTTCCCGCTGCCGTGGAAGGAGCTGCTGCGTTCCTGGTGCTCCCGGTTTCCCCTCTGGTGCATCTCGCGCGCGGGTTTTCAGGGTCGGGTTCCTTGCGAGGGTTGCTTGTGGCCGCGCCCGCACTGTAAGGGAGAGGACAGGGTCAGGGGGATTCGAGGGTCGAAGTGTTGTGACGCTTTCGTTGATTCTCCGCGGACTGGGGGCCCCCAAACGGTGCGGTGACCATACCGTGTGGTGAGTCGGGGGGGTTCGAAGTAATCGCATGGGTTCGGGACTTGTGGCGTTACAGTGAGCGGCTTGGATGAGGAACACTTCCTTTTCAAAAGGGGCTCGGTCGTTCCTTAGGTTTGCATGCGTTCTGCTACCTTCTTGGCGGCGAGCCCCCCTGGTGTTCCTTCGGACTTCGTAGACTCACTTGGAACAACAAGGGGCTTCGTTCCTTATTTATCGTTCCTTAGGTCAGGCCGATGACTGTATCCGAGCATGTCTCGGGCGACGGGGGCCTCCGAGGTCCCAAGACCGTGTGGCGAAGGGCCGTGTGTTAAAGTCTTTCGGGGCATTTCGAGGTCACTGCACCGTTCGGGGACCTCCACGGATAGTCTCAGGGGGTTCGAGGTTCGACGTTTTCATGCGTTTTCATCGCTTCTCGTCGGCTTGCCAGCATCGGGATGCCTTCCAGCAGCTGCGCCTCGCCGAGAGCTCTCTGGGAGTGCCCGAATCGTCCCCCACGCCCGCCAGAGGCCTGAGTTGCGAGCGGAAAGCCACCATGCGTCGAAAAGGTTTTGGCTTAACATTACAGTGCCGTTTTTAATACATGCTCCGCGTGCGGATGATGTATTAAACACGCAGAGATTTAGCATTGAAAACAACGATGAGTTCATGCAGAATTTTTTTCATACATCCACAATGTATTGAGCATCCTATATGTTTGAACATCCTACGTCTTAAACACTGCCCCGTGCTGGGGGCAGATGGGCTCCGAGGGGAGGGGGACGCATCGACCCGGTGTCGCCCGCTCGTCGCCGCACAGGCCCGAGCCTGGCTGCCCCGGTGCGCACGCGCTGAAGCGCAGCACGCGCCGTGCTCCGCGCGCTCCCCGCGCCCGTGCTCACCGTTTTGACTCGCCGAGGCCGCGCCTCCTCTCGGCCTCGCTCCGAGGCGCCGCCGCTCCCTGCCCCCCTCTCCCTCCGCGCAAACTCGAGCTCCGCGCGGCCCGCTCAGCCTCGGCCGGAACGAGGTGCGCTCTCGACCCGCAGGGCAAAAGTTTGCCTGATGCGCACGCGTTGAGATCGGAGGGCACCAACTATACACCAACACCGATCCTGGCCCAGGATCACCCTGGGCCCAGGATCGGTGTATATGCCTTCTTGCGCAAGGCATGAGGGCGTATACACCGATCCTGGGCCCAGGGTGATCCTGGCCAGGATCGGTGTTGGTGTATAGTTGGTGCCTTCCTATGAGACACAGCACGCGCCGTGCTCCACGCGGTTCCCGCGCACGTGTTTCCCGTTCGGCGACCGCGTCGCGCGCCGGGCCTGCGCTCTCAGTCTGCGCGCCGGGTTCCGTGGCAACGCGCTGCGGGTGGCGCGCTGCGTGTCGCGGCAGCCAGGTGCCCGACTGATGGCCCGCCCCGCTCAGGCTCGTGCGGTCGCGCCGTCGGGTAGCCTGTCGCCGAGCTGAAAAAATAGCCTGGGGACTATTTTCTAAAAAGTATGTTCGACCATCTTGGAGTACTTTTTGAGTATTTGTCAGTTCTCGTCGAACATCCCCCTGTAGGGGGACACGCCCGACTTCATCTTTGCCCCTCATCCGGGGGCCAGGCCCCGTAGGCGCGCTGACGGCAGTGGAGGCAGCGGCGATGTAGGCTTCCAGGGGGCCACCTGCGAACCCTACCCCTATACCCCCCGCGATTTCTGAGGGGCAGGGTGGGGTTCTCTTCGCTCGAGAGCCTGGCTCGGCGCGCCAGGGAGGGCGGCCCAGCGCAGGTCCAGCGCACGTTTATGGCGTTTATTTTCTCTTCTATTTTCCGAGGCCACGGAGGGCTCCGCAGAAAGCGGGAGGGCTGGCTTCTGAGTGGCCCCGCCGCCTTCTGAGAAGGCCTGCTCCCTCTCTCGCAGCCCCCCTCGGCTTAGGATGTTCCAACCTGCTTTGGCCTTGACCACCACACGGAATTTCGAGCACCAAGGGAGTACTGAAACCTGAGGGCTTGCGGGCCCTGGGATGCGACACTCGTTCGCCACTGTTTCGATACTCTTCTGGGTGCTCGAGATTCTTTCCAGGATGTGGTCCTTAAGTACGATGGGAGCCACCCAACCCTCGTGGTTCGTGCTCTCCTAAATTCTCTACGTCGTTTTCGCTGGATATTTTCGCACATTTGACATGTAGGAGAGTGTGGTTCGTGATTTCCTTCCACTTGTTCTGCGCGAGCTCGGCGCAACAAGGGTCGGATTCCCGGCATCGCCGTGAACCAACATCGCCGTCAGCGCGGCCCTGGTCACAGCCGCCCTCGGCCCTCGGCGCGCCGCAGCCTGGTCTGGCCCGGCCGCGGCCGTTCGGGAAACGACGTGCTCCGAGAGGGTTGTACTATATGCTCGTGGCGGACGCGAGGAGGAGGAGGAGGAGGAGGAGGAGGAGGAGGAGGAGGAGGCGGAGGAGGAGGAGGTGGAGGAGGAGGAGGAGGAGGAGGCGGAGGAGGAGGAGGAGGAGGAGGGTTGTACCATGTGTTCGTGGCGGACGCGCGCCCCTGGGGAGGAGGCACAGTACTACACTGCCGTTTTTAATACATGCTCCGCGTACGGATCATGCAGTAAACATGCAGGGATTTAGTACTAAAAGCGACGATGAGTTCATGCATAAATTTAGCTATACATTAATCATGCATTAAAATCCGGTAAAAAAACACGATGTGCTAAAAACTGCCCTGTAGCATCAAGTCGGGCGCGCCCCTCGACGGGAGAGATCCTCAGAACGGGCCAAAACAGTCCGCCTTGGCCCCCGGCGCGCCGCATGCCTGGCCTGCCGGGCCCTATACGGCTCGGGAGGCCTCCGGCGGCCGCGCCCGCGGGACGAGATCTCTCCGGGCCCCCCCCGCGGCGGGCGCCTCCTCGGCGGGGCGCCCCCCTCGGCGGGGCGCCCTCCTCGGCGGGCGCCTCCTCGGCGGGGCGCCCTCCTCGGCGGGGCGCCTCCTCGGCGGGGCGCCCCCGAGCCGGGCGCCGCTCTCGGCTGGCGGGCGCCCCCCTCGGCGGGGAAGCGCCCGAGGCTGCTCTCACTTCGAGCCTCGGACCTGCAAGCAGTGGCGAAAAGCGTCTTCACCACCCACCAAACGACCCCAACCCAACCCGAAGGCCTCAATGTTCCCTCCATTTCCAGTGGGGGGGGGGGTCGAGGAACATTGAGAAAGCACGTATGGAACCCGTACCCCCCCCCAACCCGAAATTCGGGTCAAATTCGGGTCTTCGGGTCGTGTTGGGGGGTGGTCTGGTAGGTAGTCACGTCTTGGCGCGCCCATTGGGCCCACCAAAGGATGTTCTGAGAGCCTCTCGTGCCCTGCACGAGGTGTTCTCAGGACAGTCCTGGTTGGGGCTGGGTTGTTTTATGGATCGGGTCTATGTTCTGAGAACATTGTCTTAGTTCTGAGAACATTTGTGGGTTCTAGGATTATTTTTGTGGTAGGATTATAGGAATGCCGGGACGGTCGGTCCCTGCTCAAGAACTCGTCATGGCGCCAACATCGCAGAGCGGACTTCGTTCGGAAAACGATCGGATGGGCCCGGAGTGTCCTGGAGGATTGGGCCGGATTTCGAGGTGAATTTCCTGCGGGCTCTTTTAGGTTGGTTAACAACAACCCACGCGAAATTCATCTCGTGTTTCGTTCGTCGTTTCGGGGTTGTGCATTGACAGACATCCACGCAGAAGTTCGCTGCAGCACGTCTGCAGCGTCGGTGCAGTGCCACCCCCGAGCTGCCCCCTCGGCGCGCTGCCGACATTCTGCCCTCGGACCTCCTGCTGCCGGGTCGGGCATGTCCCCCATGCGGGCGGAGATTCCGGGCGACAAACTGGAAAACATAGCCGAATAATGCTCCGCAGATGCGAATAAAATGGTAGGAACATCGTGCCCAGATTACTCTTCTGACTGTTCTGGAGCATTCCTCCTGTAATTAGAGGTGCTGTGCCTGTTTCCCTCTTCCTCCTCCTCCTCCTCCTCCTCCTCCTCCTCCTCCTCGTCCACCTCCTTCCCCCCTCCAGCTTCTGGTGGTGGTGGTGGTGGTGGTGGTGGTGGAAAGCAGGCCCAGCAAGAGGGACGCGCCCGACTTAATCCTGCCGGCCCACCAGGAGCAGGTGCTGCTCGGCGCCGGGCCCCACGACGAGGCGGCCGCGAGGCGCGAGGGCTCCGCCTACGCGTGCGCGCGCGGCTGCGGGCGGGGGGGCGGCCGGCGCTTCTTCTCGTTCCACGGCGCCACCGGGGCGTGCTGGTGCGAGGAGAGCATGCTGGGCCGAAGGGAGGGGAGGGTGGAGAACGACGAGGAAGGAGGAGGAGGAGGAGGAGGAGGAGGAGGAGGAGGAGGAGGAGGAGGAGGAGGAGGAGGAGGAGGAGGAGGAGGAGGAGGAGGAGGAGGAGGAGGAGGAGGAGGAGGAGGAGGAGGAGGAGGAGGAGGAGGAGGAGGAGGAGGAGGAGGAGGAGGAGGAGGAGGTGCGCGGCCAAGCACCGACTCCCACCGACCACGCCAAGAAGAAGACGCGGCGTACCGTGCGCCGCGGCGAGGCCGCCCCCGGCCGTCGGGCCGAAGGGGGGAGCGGCCCGCACCCCGTGTAACATACGGGGGCCGCCAGCTCTGCCGAGCTCGAAGGCGGCTAGAGAAGGTCGGACGCCCCTCAGCTCGCGAGCAAAGGAGGGGCGTCCTTCGCAAAGGAGTTCGTGGAGGACCAGTTCGGCGCCCACCTGAAGGCGCTGGACTGACGTGCTACAGCGCGCCCAGCGGCGGCGCGCTGCAGAGCCCTCACTGAAAGGGTCCTGAAAGGTGGAGGAGGTGGCGGAGGAGGAGGAGGAGGGGAAGCGAGAAGGGGAGGAGCGTAAGCTTCAGCCGGGCATGCTCTTTATAAGAGGAGTATCAATTTATAACACACAAATTACATTGTGGCGATGGTCGTGCTCTTTCAAAAACCGCCTGTAGAAGGACATGCCCGACCTGAGTGCAACCCCAAGACGCATCAACCATGTTGCAACACATTTTCCTCCAAGCTCCCTCTTTTTAGGCCCCAGCAAAAAGAGTAAACCTGGTGCGGGAAATGCCCCGTTGGAAGACAACCTGGGACGTCAATACCGCGAATCAGCGGAATTGTTGCGTCCTGACAATCTTGAACCGTGCCAGAGAGCCGTTTTAAAGTTTCCACCGCGAATCAGCGTCGCTGCTGCGTCCTGACAGCCCGAAATCTCGCCAGAACGCCATTCCTGGGACTTCAGCCGTACGCAGGCTTGAACGTGTTGCATATGTAGTCTTCAGACGAATACGTTCGGTGCATTTGGGAAACGGCCGCGCCATCCTTGACTTTGTTTCACACGTTTAAGAGGAATGTGCGCGGCGTGATGGCTACAGCCACATTCTTAAACCAACGGCCCGTTTTCCACATTTGACATTGGTGCACGCGTTAAGCCGAATGCGCGCTACGCCCAGGCGTTCGCCTCTTTTTGATAACGGCACGCCTTGCACACGTTTCAGACGAACGTGCGCGGCGAGAGGGCGAGAGTCCCACTCTGAAAGCTGCTTGCCCTCCATTTCCGAAGCTGTCGCAAACTTGTAGGACGACTGTGCGCGGCGTGGGGGCGATAATCACGTGTTCAAGACGAACCGCCCTTCACCTTTGAAATTGCGTCGGACTTCAAGACGAGTGTGCGCAGCGCTCTGGCGAGAGCCAACTTTTTCAGCCACAGGCCCTCCGTCCCCGAATCGGCTGCAAACGGTTCAAGACGAGCGGGCGCGGCGCGAAGACGAGAGCCGCATTGTGACAACGAGCCGCCATAGATATGTAGCGCCCCGAAGTTGCGGATCAGAGTGAGGGGGCGCGCGCGGGGTGGGTCGCGGGTGGGTCGCCGGTGGGTCGGGGGGTGGGTCGCGGGTGGGTCATTGGTGGGTCGCGGGTGGGTCGCGGGTGTGTTTCGGGTGGGTCGCGCGTTGGGTCGCGGGTGGGTCGCGGGTGGATCGCGGGTGGGTCGCGGGCCGGTTCGCGGGCGGGACGACGACAACAAACAACATAAAACACCAACAACAACAATCCGCACCGCGGAAACCGATTTCAGGCAGGCACCCAGGGAGAGAATGACCGTGCGGCCCCCACCACTCTTGTTTGAAACTGTTGCAGAGTCCAGCTTCAGGGTCACAAGTAGTGGGGAAGTCTCAGGCGAAATGCCAAGCCAGCGCCCTACCGATGCGTCTGGGTGTGCGACAGCGAGGAGTCACTTCTCAGGAGCAGGAGTGAGGAGGAAACGCAGTACGAGGAGGGGGAAAGGATGATGATGATGATGCTGATGATGAGGAGGAGGCGGCGGAGGAGGAGGAAGAGGAGGAGGAGGAGGAGGAGGAGGAGGAGCCTCCTCCTCATCCCTTTCCTTTCCTTCCCCCATTGCCCTCCAAGCCTTGGAAGCGGATGGGAAAAGGCGGAGGGAGAGGGAGGAGGCGCAGAAGGATGGGGGAACAGGACGGGGGCACAAGGTGGGGGAACTGTCGCAGGCCCCAAACGACAGAACAGATCGTACGGCTCACCGAACGCGGGCGCAGACACAGGACCTCGAGCCTCTGCCCAGCAAAGCTGCCTCCTGGGGCTTCTCCCGGCAAACGAAGCTGGGAGTCCAACCGAGCCTTGACCACTTGGCCAAAGACAGGCACACATACCAAAAATGGGGTAACGCAGGCACGCGCTGGGACCTCACCTCCAGCTTCTTCTCCCTGGCCAATTCCCCATAGCGCCAACAATGCGGCAAGCTCTGGAGGAAACCCACAAAAGAAGCGACCAAACAGGGACTGCCCTACACCCCGCGCCAAAACGGCGCAAGAAGTTGGCACCGCTGGAACGACGACGCGAAGCGTTACCCAGTGCCTGAACCCCGCCAAGCACGGCGACGAGGCTCCCGCGGCGGAGGGCGCTGCTACCAAGAGGCTGCAGGCGGAGAGCCGCTGGCCCAAGCCCGCCTCTCCTTCCACGTCGCCGGCGGTGCCCTTCGTAGGTCGCCGAAAAGGGCCCCCGCATGGAGGTGCGGTCGAAACCAGGCGGACCTGTCCGGCAGCACCGCAGTAATGGAGGGTGACGGTGAATAAATGACTGGGGGTCGTGTTCACGCGGCGGCGCCCGGGATGACGATCAGAAACAACCGGCCGCGGGCCAGAAAACCATCTTTTTTGTATCGTTCTGTCCTCCAGTCAGAGCATTGTGCAGAAATGGCAGGAAAAAACTATTTTTGAATCGTTCTCTCCCATTTTCTTTATGAATCGTCATCCCGCAGTGCCCCAAACTGGCCTACCGTTTCCCCCACAGGGACAGACAGAGCAAGGGCGGACGGCCTGCACCCGGCGGCCCCCCCCTGGAGGTGCCACAGGGCGCCCAGGCCGCACCGATCGGCCGCGGTGGCAGGGCTTGCAAAAAAATGCCCTGGCCTGACGGCGGGGAAGGGGAGAACGAGGAGGAGGAGGAGGAGGAGGAGGAAAAGGAGGAGGAGGAGGAGGAGGAGGAGGAGGAGGAGGAGGAGGAGGAGGAGGAGGAGGAGGAGGGGGGGGAGGAGGAGGAGGAGGAGGCGGAGGAGGAGGAGGAGGAGGAGGAGGAGGGGAGGAGGAGGAGGAGGAGGAGGAGGAGGAGGAGGAGGCGAGGACAAGGGGAACCGCGCCTGTGGCTGCTGGCACCACTTGATGCCTCTGCTGTTGCTACTGCTGCGACGGATGCTGCCACTGCTGCTGCCGGTGCTGTTGTCGAGTTTGCTGCCAGCACTGCCGCTGCCACTGCACCTGCTGCCGCTAGCTGCCGATGCTGCCGCCAACTCTGCGGCCGCTGCTCCTGATGCCTCGAGCCGGCAGCGCGAACGGCGCTGAGGCGGAAGCACACGGGCGGGTTGTGAGTGTGGCCCGCGATGATGCCGGAGCACATTCCCGTCAGGCAAGTTTCAGGAGGAGAAAAAACACACAGACACAATTAATCGTCGAGTCCCAGGGAGATATGGGAAAATATGGGAAGTGGGGGGGGGGAAGACGAAAACCTAGAAAATATGTGAAAATATGGGGAATATTTTTCCCAACCCTCCTTGGTTGGGTATTCGTTTTGAGTAGAGCAGTGTGCTCTCCACTCCCTCCTTTCCTCCCTCCTGCCTCCCTCTTGCCTCCTCCTGTCTTGCCTGCGGGGGGCTGCGATCTGTGAAACTGTCGCCACTTTCGAGGCCTGCTGGGGGGCCCAGCACAGTGACGCCACCCGCAGATTCAAATTAAACCTCGCCATCCCTGGGTGGCTGCGATCTGTGAAACTGTCGCCACTTCCGAGGCCTGCTGGGGGGCCCAGCACAGTGACGCCACACGCAGATTCAAATTAGGCCTCGCCATCCCTGGGGGGGCTGCGATCTGTGAAACTGTCGCCACTTTCGAGGCCTGCTGGGGGGCCCAGCACAGTGACGCCACCGCAGATTCAAATTAGACCTCGCCATCCCTGGGGGGCTGCGATCTGTGAAACTGTCGCCACTTTCGAGGCCTGCTGGGGGGCCAGCACAGTGACGCCACACGCAGATTCAAATTAGACCTCGCCATCCCTGGGGGGCTGCGATCTGTGAAACCGTCGCCACTTTCGAGGCCTGCTGGGGGGCCCAGCACAGTGACGCCACACGCAGATTCAAATTAGACCTCGCCATCCCTGGGGGGCTGCGATCTGTGAAACTGTCGCCACTTTCGAGGCCTGCTGGGGGGCCCAGCACAGTGACGCCACACGCAGATTCAAATTAGACCTCGCCATCCCTGGGGGGCTGCGATCTGTGAAACTGTCGCCACTTTCGAGGCCTGCTGGGGGGCCCAGCACAGTGACGCCACGGCGGATTCAAATTAGACCTCGCCATCCCTGGGGGGCTGCGATCTGTGAAACTGTCGCCACTTTCGAGGCCTGCTGGGGGGCCCAGCACAGTGACGCCACGGGCAGATTCAAATTAGACCTCGCCATCCCTGGGGGGCTGCGATCTGTGAAACTGTCGCCACTTTCGAGGCCTGCTGGGGGGCCCAGCACAGTGACGCCACGCGCGGACCCAAATTAGACCTCGCCATCCCTGGGGGGCTGCGATCTGTGAAACTGTCGCCACTTTCGAGGCCTGCTGGGGGGCCCAGCACAGTGACGCCACGGGCGGACCCAAATTAGACCTCGCCATCCCTGGGGGGCTGCGATCTGTGAAACTGTCGCCACTTTCGAGGCCTGCTGGGGGGCCCAGCACAGTGACGCCACACGCAGATTCAAATTAGACCTCGCCATCCCTGGGGGGGCTGCGATCTGTGAAACTGTCGCCACTTTCGAGGCCTGCTGGGGGGCCCAGCACAGTGACGCCACGGGCAGATTCAAATTAGACCTCGCCATCCCTGGGGGGCTGCGATCTGTGAAACTGTCGCCACTTTCGAGGCCTGCTGGGGGGCCCAGCACAGTGACGCCACACGCAGATTCAAATTAGACCTCGCCATCCCTGGGGGGCTGCGATCTGTGAAACTGTCGCCACTTTCGAGGCCTGCTGGGGGGCCCAGCACAGTGACGCCACCCGCAGATTCAAATTAGACCTCGCCATCCCTGGGTGGCTGCGATCTGTGAAACTGTCGCCACTTCCGAGGCCTGCTGGGGGGCCCAGCACAGTGACGCCACACGCAGATTCAAATTAGACCTCGCCATCCCTGGGGTGGCTGCGATCTGTGAAACTGTCGCCACTTTCGAGGCCTGCTGGGGGGCCCAGCACAGTGACGCCACACGTAGATTCAAATTAGACCTCGCCATCCCTGGGGGGCTGCGATCTGTGAAACCGTCGCCACTTTCGAGGCCTGCTGGGGGGCCCAGCACAGTGATTAGACCTCGCCATCTCTCGGGGGCTGCGATATGAGATCCCCGCTTTCGAAGTGGCTAGGGGTGCTCAGGGATTGTAATCAACTAACCAGCTTTATCTAGTCCTTGTCCTGTAGCCAGTGTCCTGCGAGTCTCCCGAATTCCGTCTGCAGACATATGTAACTCTCGCTCCGTCATCGCCCCCCTTACAAAGTGTCCTAAACTATTTGCGCCCCGCGTTTGCGCAAGGGTTGGGTACGTCGCCAGGGTAATTATTTGTGTGTATTTATTTGTTTGTCATGGGGCCCCTTTAACAGTTCCCTACCTAGGCTCTGTCTAGAAGGGTTCTTACTCGGTAAGCTTAAAGGGCCGGGCAGTGGGGCCCGCCCCGGGCGGTTCCCCCAGTATCCGCCCCGCGGTTCCCCCAGTGACGTTCCCTTAGCTTCGCGTTGCTTATCTCATCTTAGCTTAGCTTATTTCATCTTACCTTAGCTTAGCTTCATCTGACCTCCGTTTTTTTAGCTTAGCTTACCTTCATCTTAGCTTCGTTGAGCTTTAGCATAGCAGAGCACAACATAGCATAGCATAGCGTAGCATAGCATAGCGCAGCACAGCATACCATAGCATCGCCCAACATAGCATAGCATAGGGCAGCATAGTATAGCATAACATAGCATAGCATAGCATAGCGCAGCACAGCACAGCACATCATAGCACAGCGCAGCATAGCATAGCATAGCATAGCATAGCATATCATAGCATGTCATAGCATTGCATAGCATAGCATAGCACAGCATAGCATAGCAGCAAATCAAAGGCATAGCATAGCATAGCATAGCAACTAATGCTGCTTTCCTAGGGGGCTCCATGTTCTAGGTAGGGTCGCACTGGGGTAATTAGCTTCCTCCGAACGGTCCGCGGGCCAATTCTTGGGAGCAGTCGGCGCCTCGCACAGCAAGACAGTGGCTCAGGCCCTCCCCCCTAGATGTATAGCTGTGGTCGGGTACCGTCGGCCCACCCGGGCCGCGGAGTGTCGGCCCGCCCGCAGGAGTCTGACGAGCACAGGCAGCCGGACAGCCGCTTCGTCTCGGGTGCCGCGTGCAGCCTGGAGCACCCCGCGCTGGCGGGCCCGCACAGGCCGAAGGGAGCGCAGTGGATGCAGGCGGGCCTGGGACACAGCCCGCGCGCAGCGGAGTTCTTCTGCCCACGCTATCAGAGGAGGGAAAGGTACGTACCCACACCGCTGCCATTGCCTCGTTTCGCCGTCCTCCTGACGGGCCCCCGTCGCCACGGCCTGCTTCGCTTCGGAAGCATAGTCAGGACGCGATCTGGGAGAGGTCTGGGGAGGACAGTGAGCGGCTTGAATGAGGAACACTCCCTTCTCAAAAGGGGCTCGGTCGTTCCTTGGGTTTGCATGCGCTCTGCTACCTTTTTGGCGGCGAGCCCCCCCGGTGTTCCTTCGGACGTCGTAGACTCACTTGGAACGACAAGGGGCTTCGTTCCTCATTTATCGTTCCTCAGGTCAGGCCGACGACTGTAGTCGTTTCCCCGCGCGAAGCGTTCGCAAGCCAAGGTGTGGGGGTACACATCGTCCGCACACGTCAGGATGCTGTCAGGCGCGCGCCCCCTGAACGGCGAGGCGCCATGAGGGGCCTCGGGGTTTGAGCAGCAGGTGCTGCGTACGGTCCTTCGAGGGCCCGTGGGGCCACGGCCCATCGGGGCTCCTCGTGGTCCGAGGCGGGGGTTGATCCACAACCGCCGCCTGGTCGATCGATCGTCGGGGACCTCCGTGTGGCGCTCAAGTATATCCATCTCCACCGCACATCGGCTCCCCAGGCGGCGAAGAGATGTGCAAATCCCACCCTCGCACTGTGGTCCCTCGCGCCCCTGGTGTTCCTGGCGGGCTTGTCTATTGTGCCGCAAGCTCCTCGGCGCCCTCATGAGCAGGACGGCGCCCCGGAGCCGGCTCGGAGCTCAGACACGCGATGCCTTGATTTTTGTTCAGCACGAGTTCCCCAGATGTGCAGACCTTTTCCTTGGGGCTGCTCTTTCACAGCGAGCCGTTGTTTGACAGTCCTGGGGCCGCGCGAGGGCCCTGGAGGCCAAAGACGGCCAAAAACCTCCCGTCGCGAACTTCTTAACAACGATCGGGAAGGTCTGCCTTTCGGGCCATAACTCCAGCCCCTGGCGGCCATTCGGGACGATCCGGCCACCCCCGCAGCTGCGGGAGAGCACCGCGAGGCCAGAACACCGGCGGGAACCGACGAGAACGTCCGAGAAACTCCAGCCTCGAATCTCGGGAGGGAGCGCCGGGGACGGAGGCCCAACGTTGGCAGCAACCTCCCGTCGCGCTCGGCGCGGGCATGTCTGGGGATGGCTCCCGCAGCCCGCGGCTTCTTCGGGGCCCTGGGCACAGGTCAACGTTTTCTTATTCGGCGTTTCGACACTGGGCGGAAGGGGAGGGAGAGGGGGGGGGGTCTGGCCTCGGACCTCTGCTGAATGGCGTCTGTTTGGGACCGTGCGTCCTGTGGGGCAGACCCCACCTGCCTGAAACAGGTGCCAAAACCAGCCAAGACGATCTCCAGGGGGGGGGGAGGGGTGCGGGGGCCCGCGCCGATCGGCAAAACAATCCATAAAAAAGATCACAGCAGGGCTGGGCCCTTGAGGGGTGTTTCGTGGCCGCCCCCGCGGCTGCTCTGCGACTGCCACCAGGGGCCCACGGCCTGCTTCTGTGGCCCCCGACGGCCCTTGGCGCGTGTGTGTGCGCGCGTGCGTGGCTTTCTCCGTGCGACTGTCTGCCTGCTCATGGAGGTCTCTCTGGGGTCCCCTGGAGGTCATCTTGGATTAAGTTGGAGCCCCTGAGGGGCTTCTTGGGGTGTCTTGGGGTCGTCCTGGGTCCATTTTGGGCCGCCTTTGAAGTATACTGCTCTCCTGGCGACGTGTTGTAGGCATCTTGGGGTCGACTTGGCTGTCTTGCTGTTCAGTGCTGTTCCTTGTGGTTGTCTGGCTTCTCCGTTTCGGACAGGCAGCTGGATGGATGCGTTGAGACCCCTCTGGGAGCTTCTTGGAAGGGGCGGGAGCATCTCCTGTCTGACACACCAACACACATTCGGTAAGCCTGCGGGGGCTGCGACCGAGTGCCGCTCGGCCCAACCCGCCACCATGCCTGGGTTGTGGACCAGGGGCCTCTTGGATGCCTCTTGGGGTCTCTTGGGAGGCATCTTGGGGCATCTTGGGAGCATCTCGGGGATCTGCGGGGTCTTCTGGGGGCCTCGTGTGGGCCTCTTGGGGCCTCGTGGGGTCCTCTCGGGGGCCGTAGGTCGGTCTGAGATGCCATCTTGAAGTTCAGGGCTTCTAAATGCCACTTCCTGTTCGTCCCCCCTCTTGGGGTTGCCTTGGGGGGGCGTCTCGGGCCACTTTTGAGGGCTTGGGAGCCGCCTTGGGGCGATCCCGGGTGGGGGCTTGGAGGCCGTCTCTGGCGTTGGTAAGACCGAGAACGCGAGACGGTTCAAGTCATTGAATCAGCGGGTTTTCTGTCGATTCTGGTTTTTCGGGGTGGCTCCCAGAGCTGCCCAGGAGGCCCAAGAAGCGCCCAAGAGGACTCCAGGAATGACCCTGGGACCATCTTACACCACCCGCCCCCGAGGCCTCCAGGAAAATCACTTGACGATTCGAAGGAGCGCTCGAGAGCGCCTGTGATTCCGGGTCCTGGCCCCGTAAGTTCCAAGCAGCATTTGCAGCATCCAGCGCGGAGGACTCGAAGGGACCTGATAGCAATCCACTCAGTGACCGCTGCATGGTGGCGCAGTTGCGCAGCAACGCATTCGTTCTTTCTCTCCTGGAGGGGGCACTTCTCCACTAGATGTTTGCAAACGAGTCTGGAATAACAATCGGGTTGACCCAAAAGGGGGTCCAGCGACAAGGGGGTGGTGCAATATATTTGGTGCAATAGGTTTGTGGGGTTGCAATACATTCGGGGCTTGCAACGCATTCGGGGGCGCAAATGTGCTGCTGGATTTTCGCGTGCAGTACACTACTTGCAATACAGTGCAATACAATTCTCTGGCGCAGTACGTTTACAATCCAATTGCCCCAAGTCTATTGCGCCACCCCCTTCCAGCTGGACCCCCTTTTGGGCCACCCGAGAACAAGCAACTCCATACGGCGGAGGCGTGTGTGAAGGAATGGTCCCAGGAGGCGCCAGACCCTGGAGGATTCCCTATCCAATGAAGGCGGCGGTGATATTTCATGAAGTGGTGAATATTATCCTGGAGCAGGTAAATATATGTCACGAAGTGGTCCTCTATGCTGCCCAATAAAAGATAATAGGCGGCGGTGATATCCATGGCCGATCCACGACTGGAGGTCCACTGGCTTCCAGACCCCGGATTCCTGACCTAAGGCTCTTTACTCAATGCCCACACCGTGGCCTTGGCGTCGCTCGGACGTGTGCGCTTTTTCCTCGGCGGGGACCATCGAGGAGCATCCTTGATCATTTGGCGAAAAAGCCACGCACGAGACCGACAAAAAAACACACGGAGTGGGCGTCCGAGCGATGGCGAGCAGCAGCTGCGGTGGCTGCAGCGAGGCCACGGCGAGTGGCAGGTCTGCGGCGGGCACGGCGCGCGCGGGCGTGGCGCGCCAGGCGCGGTGTTGGTCCTGCCTGGGCTTCTGCGCGCTGCACGTTCGCGTTTGCCCAAAAAGGCTTCACCCGCGAGGCTTACCAGCCTGGAACATGTCCCTATCCCTATGCTGGGCACCTCCTCATCACGATGCCAATCTTAGGGGTTCCATGAGTTGCTTTTTGAGGGCGGATCCCCTGAGAGTGTCATCGCCCTTGGGCGTGTCGATCTTAGGGGTAGGGATACATTCGAGGCTGGTAAGAAGCGGAACAAAACAGTGCCCACACCGCAGCGCGAACATCTGGAGGCTCCGCGCGGACTCCTTGGCCCTCCGCTGGGCCCCCCCCCCCTCCCCGCTTGCGGCGCCTCTCCGACGCCGCCCGCGGGCGCGCCCTCGGGCGCGCCCGGGGGAGGGCGGGCCGTGCGCCGACCCCGAGGGACGCCGCGCGGACCTCACGGGATGCTGTGCCGGGTGCTGGGGCTGCTCGTCCCTCCTCTCTCTTTCGGGGGTGGGCAGGCCCCCACCAGGCACGAGGCCGAAGCTCGCGGCCGCGAGGCCGGCTGGCGCGCGGCGCTGCGCGGGCGCCTGGTGCAGCGCCCGGGGCCGCCGGACTAGCGGCCTGCGCATGGGCCGCGTGCCGCCCCGGCCCCCCTCCCCTCCCCCGCCCCTCCCCTCCTCGACTGCTGTTCTCTGCCGCTGGGCTTCTTCGATGGGTAAACGTGTGTCTTGCCTGCGGTGCGTGCCCGCTGTGCCCAGGCCGTGGCAAGGAGCACACGTCGCATAACGCCTTGGTGCACTCGGGGCGCCAGTGCCCGCTCGAGTGGAGAGGCCGAGGCTGCCGCGTGGCCTGCATCCCCGCGCAGGCCGCCTCCTTGGGCTTGGCATCGCTCGGACGTGTCCACGGCCAGGCCCCTTGAGGAGCAGTTTTGACCCCCCACCCTGACGCGTCGATTAGCGACTTGGCCGTTTTCAGTGCGCGGGAGGGCGTCGCGGCCGTCATTTCTGCGGGTCCGGGTCCGTCTGTTTCGGTCCCGGGCCGTTCTCACGAAGGGGGTGGTTTGCTAAAGGGAGGCTTGTCCACCGCCGAGAGGTGTTGTGTTTTGTTTGGGCTGATTTTCCCTGTCTCTTCAAGGTGGCATACCTGACTGAGCAGAAGCACGTGCAGGTGTCCCAGTTCGGTGATATTCGCGGATTCACGGTCGCTGGGAGCAAGCTGAGCGATGACGAGATCAACGCTATCAGTTGGGACGTGCTCAAGTTCGAGCCCGAGAGTAAGGATTACCCAGTCACTTATTTCAGCTTCTCTGGAGTCAAGTTCCTCTCTAAGGAGTCGCGGATGCCTTTCCCTTACGCTCTGAGCGAAATGGACGCTCTGGCTGGTTGGTGGAAGAGGTCTGGGGTTTCAGTCATATGCTTTGTTCGTCCTTGTGTTTGCCGTTGCCGTCATCGTACAATTGATCCTCCTCCACGCTCGGTGGCTGTCTTCGACTCGAACTATTGACCGTTTTGCCCACTGCTATTTCGGCCAGTTCTGCTTGCTCGATGATGTTGTTTTCTCCTCCGTGCTTCGTGCGTGTGTGTGTGTGTGTGTATGTGTGTGTGTGTGTGTGTGCGGGTGTCCCAAATATTTGTTTGAATCTGGGTATTTGATTCGCAGGCCGAGTCATGTCAAGTTGTGTGGTCGCGCTCCGTTCTTCTTGGGGAAGCGTGCATCAAGTCAGACTAGAGTGCGTTCTAAGTTCGAGCTGCCTTCCGCGGTGAACATCCCGGCCTCCTCCCTGCAATCTGCAGGGCGGCGCGGGTGGCACGCACTTGAGATGGCGACTCGTGGGGGTTGGTGCTCGCTGCATGGACAAAAGCACACTCGAGATGGCGACGGCCTCGGATCCACAAAATGCGTCGGACCTCGCACTCCGAGAGTGCTGCGCTCCTCGGAGCGCGTCGAGTCCACCCTGTCGGCGTCGCGAGGGCCAACAAACCGTTGGCTTCCGAGAAGGCAGGCACGCTGGGCCTCCCAAGATGGGCAAAAACACCCGCGATCCCCTCCTCGAAATGTTGCACCGCTTCCAGGGCGCGCGGAACTCTGCGCCCTCCTCCTCCTCCTCCTCCTCCTCCTCCTCCTCCTCCTCTTCCCCCTCCTCCTCCTCCTCCTCCTCCTCCTCCTCCTCCTCCTCCTCCTCCTCCTCCTCCTCCTCCTCCTCCTCCTCCCTCTCCTGCCCATGGTCGTGGTTGTGTGGGAAAGCTGGCCCATCATCCTGTGGTCCGGGCACGCAGGTGTGCGTGTGTGCACGTCGGGGGGAAAAGGCCAGTCGAGAGGGTGGCGGCTCTGCCGCCCTGCCCACGGCCACCCGAGATCTGCCCCCCCCCCCCCCCCCCCCGACCCCTCTCCCAGGGTCCATCCCAGGGTCCGCTTCTGGCCCCGGGATCCTCAGACTGCAGTGGAGGCCCACAGTCAAGACGCTGACATAAGGAACAGTTTGGGTTCGGAAGGGGCTCGATGTTCCGTAGGTTCCTCCAGTGCTGTTCCTCTTGCCCTCCTGGGGCACGGAGGCGGTTACAGGGCCAATAAGGGGCGTCGTTCCTTATTTAGCGTTCCTTTTTGCAGTGGCCCGACTGTCTGCCACGAAACACCTTTTTTGCCTCTTGTGTGCCCTGAGTTTCTTGGGTTTTGATGGTTTTGCGATGGAAGGTGTAACGTTCCCGCAGTAGAAGCCAACGGACGTCCTGGGGTCTCAGGTTTGGGCTTCTCGTGGAAGGTTTCCTGTGGACTGGCCTCCACTGTGTGGCCCTCTGACAGGGACCCGTGCAACACGAACCCAGTCCTGAACTTCGGTCGCGGCCACTGCGCGTACACCGTCAAGTCCGCCTACGCGTTCCGAGACTCCGGCCCGATCGTCGGAGTGGACGGCGTGAAGCCGGGAGGCGCACGTGCCGGGGGGGCGTCCCTCCTTCAGTCGGCACGAACGAAATGGGTACGGAAAGAATGGGTACAATGCCCAACAGCGGTTCCTGTTCATCTTGAGCAGGGCTCGCTGTCGGTGTCGTTACGGCCTGTGTACATTTGAGACCGAAGGCTGCCTGCCCAACAGCGGCCGCTGTTGGTGTGGAACAACATTTGTTGTTGGGCGCTGTGCCCATTTTTTCCGTACCCATTTCGGGCGTCCAGATAGGAGTCGGGGCTCAAGAGACGGGGGTCAATGCGAACAGGGGTCTCGCCGCCCACCAAAACTACCCCAACCCAACCCGAAGGCCGCGATTTGCCCTCCATTTCCAGTGGGGGGGGGTCGGGAAGCATCGAGAACACACATGTGGAACCCGTACCCCCCCCAACCCGAAATTCGGGTCTTCGGGTTGGGCTGGGGTGGTCTGGTAGGTAGTCAATTTCGGGCGTCCGAATCGGAGTCGGGGCTCAAGAGGCGGGGGTCAATGCGAGCAGGGGTCAGCCAGAGCGCCGGATTTTGCAGGATCCTGCGGGGCCAGGGGCGCGCGCTGGCCTGGACCTGGGCGCAGGATCCTGCTGGATCTTCCAGGATCGGAGGAGGAGGAGGAGGAGGAGGAGGAGGAGGAGGAGGAGGAGGAGGAGGAGGAGGAGGAGGAGGAGGCGGAGGCGGAGGCGGAGGCGGAGGAGGAGGCGGAGGCGGAGAGGCGGAGAGGCGGAGGAGGAGGAGGCGGAGGCGGAGGCGGAGGCGGAGGCGGAGGCGGAGGCGGAGGAGGAGGAGGAGGAGGAGGAGGAGGAGGAGGAGGAGGAGGAGGAGGAGGAGGAGGAGGCGTGGTTGACCCAGGTCTGGACTGTCGGAGGAGGAAAAGGTGTTGATATCGCTACCCTTGTCCCCTGTTGGGCCTCCTTGGGGGACCCCGTCGCCACCTCTGGAGTCGCCCTGAAATGCTGGGCCTCCGGAAGCGGGCTCGTCGCCACGGCTGGATGCGCCTCCGAAAGACAGGTCAGGACGGACTCCTTCGATGCTCGCTTTGAAGACCTTCCTGGGGCCCACCCAACGTAGCTGTTCGACTTCAGTTCGCCTCGAGTTCGACGCACGTTCGACTCGAGTTCGACTCAGGCTCGACTCGGGTTCGACTCGGGTTCGACTCGGGTTTGGCTCGTGCCGACGCAGGCTCAACGCAGCCTCGACGCACGAACGGAGCGAGCGTCTCCAGGAAGGTCCCCAGAGTGAGCATCCTGGGCCCGGGGGCCGAGTCTGAGTGGATCTTGGACAGGCGGGAGAGCCGCCGGTTGTCTCGATTTTGGCCCTCCCTCGATCCGCATCCTGCCGCGGGTGCATTGGGCACGTGTTGGGGGGCCTCCCTCCTCCTGCTCCTCCTCCTTCTCCTCCTCCTCCTCCTTCTCCTCCTCCTCATCCTCTTTGCCCATGGGAGGGTCCACGAGGGCGCGGGTCCTGAGGCTTCTTGCCGCTCTCGATCTCCCGTCGGCCTCCCGAGGGCCCCGTGGTTGTCCAGGACGGCCTGGGACGCGGGGACGGCAGATCGGCCCGGGAAGCAGCCTTTGGGTCCAGAAGCTGTGTCCGCCAGGATGCTTCCCCTTCGTGCTGATGAGGCCCCCTTCCCCTCCTCCCTCTCTTGCTCCCGTCGCGGCTGGCTGAAGGGCATGTGCTGGTCCGACCAGGGGCCAGCAGCGAGCGTGTGCCTGCTGGGTGTCGGGGGCCCAGGGGTGCCGAACAACGACGCATCGAAAGGGTGCCAGGCCCTGAAGCTTTTTTTTTTTTCTTGGCGGCCGCGCCTCGCCGACGGTTGCCGCAGGCGTTGCATCGGGGATACAGGGTCCGGCTTGAATAAGGAACACTTGCTAATCAAAAGGGGCGCGGTCGTTCCTTTTTGGTTTGCATGCGTTCCGCTACCTCTTTGGCGGCGAGCACCCCTGGTGTTCCTTCGGACTTCCCAGACCTGCTTGGACACATAGGGGCTCCGTTCCTTATTCATCCTCCCTCAGGTCAGGCCGAAGACTGTCCGTTCGCAGCCGACGCACGCGCCTTGTTGCGTCGTTGAGCTCTCCCTACTGAAGAATCGGAGGCGGGAGGAGGAGGAGGAGGAGGAGGAGGAGGAGGAGGAGGAGGAGGAGGAGGAGGAGGAGGAGGAGGAGGAGGAGGAGGCGGGGGGGGGAGGAATGGAAGGGACCCCCGACCGGGCAGAATCGGTTCGGCTTCGGTGCGTGCCGTGCGTGCGGGCGAGGCGAGGCTCCCCGAGCTCCATCCACAGCAGGGGCCCCGTGCTGCCAGACGGGCCGGCCCGCGAGCGCCGGGCGTGGCCCCCGATTGTCACGGCGGTTGTCCCGATGGTTGTGGTTGGCCCGGTGGTTGCCCCGATGGTTGTCCTGATGGGTGCGCCGATGGAATTGCGCCGAGGGTTGTCCCGACGGTTGTCCCGATAGTTGTCCCGACGGTTGTCCCGATGGTTGATTGTTCGATCGATCGATGTTGTGAGATGTTGCCCCGATTGTTGTCCCGATGGTTGTCCCGATGGTCGTCCCGATTGTTGAGATATTTATATCTGTATTTATGTATGTATATGTATATATATATATATATATATATATATATATATATACACATATATGTATATGTATACATACGGCGCACCGGGTCCGGGCGCCCGGGGCCGGCGCCGCTACCACAAATGTGGGCTCCGGGGCCCTCTGGGAGCCCCGGGGCCTCACAGAAGACCGCCAGAAGGCACCAAGGAGGCCCCAAGAGGCTCCAGAACAGACCCGGGACGCCCGAAGGTCGCTCCCAGACGCCCAACATGGCCTCCAAGGTGGCTTCAGAAGCCCCCAAGACACCCCAAGCGACCCCCAATAGGGCCCCAAAGAGAGCCCAAAGGGGCCAAAATTGCCCCATTCCCTCTGTAAAGCGTATATTTTTAACACATTGATTGTTTTCGCTGTCGGTCTGGCCGAGGACGCGCCCCAGAGGGCCCCAATACAGTTCCAGAGAGGTCCAGGACGGCCCACGAAGGGCCCAAGACGGCCCAAGAGAGTCCCCAAGACGGGCCCGAGAGGGCCCCAGAGGAGGAAAGCCACAATCGAATTCCAAGCTTTCGACCCCAAGTGGCTCCAGGAGGCGCAGAGAAGCCCCCAAGAAGCGCCCGGAAGGCTCCCCAAAGCACCCCAAGACGCTCCAAGAGGCACCCCAAGAGAGCTCCAAGAAGCAAACATCGTCCCATTCCCGTGGGGAAACGTCTATTTTTCGTATGTTCGCCTGTTGGGCTATCATCGCGTCAAAGACGGCCCAAGGGGTTCCCAAGACGTGGCCCAGGACGGGCCACGAGAAGCCCAGGACGGTCCAATGGGCCCCCAAGACGGCCCAAGAGAGCCCCAACACGCGCCCGAGAGGAGTCCCAGAGAAAGAAAGCCATTCTCGAATTCCGAGCTTTAGGCCCCAAGAGATCCCAGAAGGCGCCGATACGCCGCCAAGAGGCCCCAAGCAGGCCCCCCAAAGCACCCCAAGATGCTCCAGGAGGCACCCCAAGAGAGCCCCAAGAAACTAAAATCCGTCCATTCCGATGGGGAAACGTATATTTTTCGCATGCTCGCCTCCAAGACGGCCCAAGCGGCCCCCCAAAACGGCCTAGGAGGCCCTTAAGAAATCTCCAAGACGGCCCAGGAGGAACGCAGGACGGCCCAATCGGCCCCCAAGACGGCCCAAGAGAAGCCCAAGAAGCACCCCAGAGGGGTCCCAGAAGAAGACAGCCACTTTTCTAAAGAAGGGAATTCCCAGAATTCCCTTCTTTAGAAAAGTGGGACTCCTACTCGGGGGTCCCACACATCCCCTGACATCTGGCCGGTACCGCGCCTCCCGGCTTCCCAGGGGGAGACCCCAAGACGCCGAAGGACAGCCCATGACGACCCCAAGGAGCCCCCATAACGTAAAGAACGGCCCAACACGCTCCCGCGCAGCCCGAGACACCCTTCTGACGGCTCTCCAGGCCTCCAGGAGGCCTCCAGAAGCCCCAGGGGGTCTGGAAGATCCCACACCCCTGAGGGGCCCGGCTAACAAAACCCGCGAGGCACAAACAAAAAACAGCGCCGAACAGCGCCGAGGAACTGGGAAAAAATGGGAATCCCCACAATTTTGTTTTGTTTTCCAAGCTTGGCCCCCAGTCTACTCTTGCACAACAGACCAAAATTACGATCCCCCTCACCTTTCAAAAATAACTCAGGAAGCCTTTGAGGGCCCCAAGTCGTTGAATACCTGCCGCGCTTCCCCTTCTATACGACTCCGAGGCTTGCGCAGGGCCTCCAAGGGAGTCCCTGGACGCAAGAAGCGACCAACATGATATTACATGAGTTAGCCGATCAATTAGCCGAGTTACGCGCGCGAAGCGCGCGCGATGGTTCTAATATTCATATATACACATACTTTTCTTTGTACATGCATCTATATACATATGTCGATATATATATATATATATATGTATATGGGTATCTATGTATACATACACATTATGATGGGCTGGTTGACAGATAGGCTGGTATATTGATACATCATCGATCGGTATATTTATACATCGATATATATATATATATATATATATATATATATATCGATGGCTGCCACAACAAGATCACTACATATATAGGTCGATGGATAGATGGGCAGATGTGTGCGACAATGAAAACGCTGAAGAAACCACCAGCTAACCCAGAGCCATCGCACCGTAACCCTAGCCTCCTTATCACCCGTAGAGGGTCCGAAGGGAGTGTTCAACAACACATTATTTCCATATTTCCAAGTCTCTGGCGCCGAACCGCCTGCACTATCCAAGTGGCGTCGGCGCCAGATAATGGGAACGTTTGGAACCATTAGATGTGACAGCATTTCCCGTTGGCCGCAGCGAACCCTCGTTGATGCGGCAGGCGGGAAGTGCTGTAACATGAAAGTGTGTCAATGTTACAAGTCCTGCGGCGCCAG